TGTCTCTCTGACCATTAGTTTCTGCCTACAAATCCTGCTTTCTGAATTTTTCCTAGTAAAATGAGCAGAACATTTCTTCAGCTGGACATCTAGTCTCCTTTTAATGAAGCCTGGTGTGCTCAAAAAAGGGCAGGCAGGAAAGAGACTACTGTTTTCTACTCAGTGCCAGGCCATGCTAAGTGCTCATTTAATTCTCCTGACAGTCTTGTGTGGAAGGCATTGTGATTCTCACTCTACAAATGTTCAGATGAGGGGGGCGGGGCAAGTCCCCCCCAAGTCCAAAGTCCTGTGGGAAACAGGTGGGGGCCCTTTGGTGAAAGTGAGCTCTTTTCCTCCCAGCACTGGCCTCTTTCAAGGCACTGTTGGGGCTGCTGGCCTGTTTCCTACCCACCCTTCCAGGGGGTCCCTGGACAGTATAGGTCTGTGAATGGGCCTCACCATCTGGGGGGGGTGAGCAAGGCAAAGCAGATGACTGGGAAGGCAGAGGCCTCGACCTTGACCTGCAGAGCCCTTCAGCATATTTTTACATACATTCCCTCATTTCATCCCAAAACCCCAGTGAGGAGGTGCCAGGTGGAGAAACTAAGGCCCATGGAAACCCAGGAACCAGCTCATGGGAGGGCTGGAGATAAACTCAGGCTTCGAGACAGCAAGTCGATCATCTGTGTCATCAGAGAAAATGTTTTCATAGCGGTCAGTTGCAGAGTGCTTTCTCTATGCCAGGCAAGACCCTGAGCGTTCCATACATGCCTTCTAATTTACCCCACAATGCTATCTCCAGTCGATGATGTTCGGATTGTCCCTATTTTGCAGATGAATAAACTGAGACCCAAAAAGGTTCATCATTTCAACAATGAATAAGCAAGGGAATAAAGGGAGAATTAATTTTCTGATGGAGGAGAAATTCCACTTCGTTACACCTGGGCATGAATAAGCCAGCCTCAGCTTATAAACTCTGAGGAGTTCTGAGGCATATTCATCTCAAGGGCTGCATATGCTTTATTGGGAGCTGCCTCGCCTCCCAGGGCTAAGTGCCAGGCAGGCCATCTGCTCTTGAGGCCTGGCCTCCCCCCACCCCCCCATAGTCATTGCCTTCTCTCGGAACAATTGGCTCCCAATAGGCTGCAGCCGTTAAAACAGTCCTGGAAAATGATCTCCTCTAGTCTCTTCCACAACCTAATTTCTGCCACTGTGGGTATTGCCTTGTCTGCGTAAATGCTCTGTTAATTTTCTGCTGGTGCTGTTGGTTGAGGTTGCTGAATACCAGGGGAGAAAGGGGAGGAGGGCCTGTTCATGCACGTTGCCTGCTCTGCTATCCAAAGCAGCCAGGAACACACCAAAGTCAGATCAGATCACCACTGCCCTGCTCCATACAGCCCTCTGTTCACCCTCTGTACCACCCACAGCTCCTTGCTGCCTCCGGGGCCTCGCAGGCTCTGGCGACCTCACCTCTCAAAGCATGTCTAAGGCGCCTCCTCCCAGAAGCTTTCCGGACCCCAGAGCCTTTGCTCCATGCCTGGGATAGGTGCACCTGTGTTGTTCTGAGCATGACCCTGCACCCAGACAGCTCTCCTAGCCACCCACGACTACCTCTTTTTCAGCCTTTGGTTCTCAGCTTCAACACTCTAGAAGCCTTCCCTGGCCACTCCCTCCATTCCCAGTGAGGCCCCCGATGGTCCCCTCTCTTTGTGTTCATGGCACGTCACACAATACATCCTTACATGTGTGTCTTCTGCTGAGTGCCTGTCTTTCCTGTGAGACTTCATCGCTGTGTCCCCAGGACCTGGCATTTGATAAGCTCTGAGTTAGTATTTCTGGACATTCTCAGTCAAAGGGCCATCCTGTTGCCACCATCCTATGAGTGTAAGCTCAGGCTGCCAGGTGACTTGCCCAGGGCCGGCGTGGTAGTGCTGGGAATCAAACCACGCTGCCTGGCCTATGCTCTCTGTTCACAGCCTCCGGCAATGGTGGTGTTTATTTACTCGATGCCTTAGTTCCTTAGTGCTGTATGTTTTCAGAGCAGAAATATAATCACAATGTCTGTGAAACCCCAAGTGGTGGCCAGCATCCAGTGTGAATGTGGAAGTTCCTCAGAAAGCCTCACTGGGAGGTTTCCCTTTCCCTGAAGAGACAAGACGTAAACACACAGAGCTCTGAATGTGGCTGGACGTGTCCATGGCAACAAGATGGGGGAATTGGGAGTGGGTGGGACCTGGGGTGGACCTGAGGGACTGCTGGTCAGGTTTAGACGTAGGACGGGACCCTAGGCAGATGGTGGCTCCACCGATAGCAGGTGTGCGGGGAGGGAGGGAAAGAGGTTTGACAAGGAGAGGGGGGCTTCCTGACAGGTGGGTGGGGCACAAAATGGAAAACCTCCGTTCCAGCCTGCTTCTTGAGGCCTCTGCCCATGGCGCATGAGTTCCGAACCTGGAGGACTGCAGTGGTCAGAGGGGTCCAAGCCCGAGAGGTCATCCAGTCAGTCAAAAAATCTTTACTAAGCTCTTACTATGTGCCAACATGAAACATAGCTGTTTATTTTAAAACCTCACAACATTTGTCATTTATTCATTCATTCACTCATTCATTCAAACAGCATTTGCAGAGTGCCCACCATGAGCTCCAAACTATGCTAGCCACTAAAGAAAAATGACGGAGAAGTCTGCATGTCCTGCAGAAGGTTGTAACCAGCAGTGGGAGTAGACAGAAAGCAGCTGTCACCCCTCCTGTAACAGGGATGACAGAGGCGCAGAACACAGACTTAAAAGAGCTGTTTGTAGGCTGTAAAATCTTTCTTAGAGGGGAACCTTAAGGATGGACCTTGAAGGAAGGGGAAGAGTTTGCCACATGGAAAGAGGAGGGAAGAAGAAGAATACAAATGCCAGCAGCCTGTAGAAAAAGGAATGTAGAAATACAATTATTCCACACAAAAATGGAAAGAGCTATATGTCAGGATTCTTCTCATCACGAGTGACAGAAAATCCAATGACCTCAACAACAATAAAAGGTATGGGGGAATGCTGGCTTCAGGTCTAGCTGGATTCAGGGCTCAAACAACATTAGGACTTGGCAGCCCTCCTGTACATGGCTGTCCTCTGTTGGGTCGACTCGTACGAGGTCTGACAATTACGTTCGTAAACTCATCCTAGAAAAAGTGCTA